TGTATTTTATTTGTATTGTATTTTTTTAACTCTCTGATTAACTACTAGTTACTTATTAAGATAGATAATTAGAAAAAGAAGAAGAAGTTATTACTGCAGATATTTATGGTGGTGTAAGTAAGCCGCCAAGGTAAGTCACGTGATTATAGATCACGTGACCATGGATCGGCTCCACCATCAGCCGAATATCCCGACAGTTACCTTACCGCCTGTCCGCGTGTCGATGCACGTCTGACGTGTTAAGTTTTCCCCGCTTAATATGTAGCAAGCAAATGGCAGATGGCAGCTCATCTGGACAATATTACCAGCTGACAAAAAAGTCCCTTGCATAAAGGGCTTCATGTGGCTACTGGACTCAAGCGCCTGCTAATTATTTATCCAATAGGAAGCGCTCGGATAAACAGAGACGACCATTCTTTCATAAACTAATATGTTAGTTATATTCGCATCCTGTCCGGTCAGGAAGTGGGCTCTATTTCAACCTCTCATAGACTTCTTACAATGTGCACTACCCTATCATCATTCAACTATGTTTGGAAGGGTATCATAGTTCGTGCGATGCGACTTTGAAGGGGAAAAAGAGCATTTGGTCCTGAAATCCCTCTGCCGGCATGAAAACCAACCAAGCTAATTAAGGGAAGAAAATAACAGCTACAAGTCTCAACACAGGCCATCTAAAAGCTTTTCCTTCACATCTTGCTTCTGCACCTCACGAAGAAGCTTATATCCGTTAGAGGTACAAGTTGGCTACCATATCAGCTGAGCTAAATGTGGTAGTATGACTTGTTCCTCTTTCCTCTGATTGGTCCTAGCTCCGCTCTGACTGTGTAAAATCTAGATAACTATAGAGGTTAATACGGTAAAATTTTTAGTACCCTTTGCAACTCTGTAGCACTCAAGGTGAGAAAGCTTGTAAGGAAAAAAGAAGGGTTCAAAAGTTATAAAGAGAAGAACCCCTTATCTAAGGAAGTCCTGGTCCCTTAGTTTAAAATGGTCTTAGCACATTAGAGCGACAATCCTAGCTCAGGAATAAAAAGCACTTTTCGTATCATCATCGGGACCGTGTTAAAATCTTTCGACACATTTTTATAATATAAAGGGATGGTGCCTAGGACAGGAGGCAGGTGAGCAGGTGATGCTGCCCACACTCCTTTGGAACAAGCTTCATTACTACACGTCTGCTCTATAGTAGACCTACAGGAGCAGTGATGAAAAGCAAGCGGGAACAGTAATGAGAAGACAATTACGGAGCCGTTTCCCCTCAGGGGAAACGTAAGACTTCTAGGATTTCATATCTAAGTTCTCTTGATCTAGCCCACAATTCCACAGCTCTAGATCATGCGTTTCTAATAGAGCAATTTCCCTTGCTCTACTAACATCCCTCCAGACGTAGTTTGTCATTATTAATTTGCATTTCCATTTTATAACTTCTCTACAGCCTAGATCTAGAACAATATTAAAAGGAGATAGCAAATAGGAGAGTAGAAGGCGTGCTTACCTATAAAATACCTACTTAAGCAAGCCTTCCCTAAGGATCTTCCAAAGAAGCAAGCCGTCAGTTATAATATAAGGAATAATTAACTATTTACCTAACGTAGCATCGCTGTTCAAGATCACAGAAGTATTGCCTAGAGCAATCGTCATTAACAAGGATCACATCATAGTTCGCTCAATGTGACTCTGAAGGACAAAAATAGCATTCGGTCCTGAAGTCCCTCCGCCGGCATGAAAGCCAACCGAGCTAATTAAGTGAAGAAAGTAATAGCTACTACTCTCAACACGGACCATCTGAAAACGTTTCCTTCACATCTTGCTTCTGCATCTCGCGCAAGAAAGCGAAGTTGACCAAATCTGCTCTCAACTCGGCCGCTTCCTCGGCCCTTCCAAGCGAACTCAACTCACCCATCAACGCGATGCGGTTGTAGAGTGCGCACTGTGGCAGAAGTTGTTGTGCCTCCTTCGATTCTTTGTTAGCTTTCCTAAAGGTAACGTCGTCTACTGACAGGGTTTCACATAGATAGAAGATTACCAAGTCCTTATCTTTATGTCCTATGGCCTATACTATATATGTATAGTATACTCTTACAAGCTAGAGCACACAGCAGATACGGAGAAATAAATAAGTAAAGAAAAGGCTTAAATTATAAGAAGAAGAATCTTATAGGTAGAGGGCCTATATAAAGGGGGCCCTTAAGCTTGTCTATATAATATAGTATATAGTGTGGCTGACAGTATCTGCCACATATACATGAGCCTCCTGTAATATATACGCTTACCGTTACTAGAGAAAATATATCCCAGTACTCCTAAGATGTTGGATTTTTAGCAGCGAGAAGAGAGATTCCCTTTTCATACAGGGAATGGTATTCATTCCGCTGTAAGTCCAGGTTTGGAGCCTCACCTATCAGAGCTATTGCTAGTTGGTGGTATTGGTATGAGTTTTCTCCCAACTGATTAACTGCGTCCTGAATCAAATCTTTGAAGTTGTTCCGAAGATTTCGATTACAGTGGCTCGTTTACCGTGGTTGGTTATGGCTCTGGCCGCTCGATGTCTTGCCGAGATACTGTTGAGGTCACATTCTCTGCAAACTTCCGTATAGCAGTCGATTACTATTCCTTGAATTGATTGGAGAGTATTGTAGTCGACCTGACCGGTCTCATTGTCAAATAGTTGTTGCATTGCAGCGGCGGCAACACTAATGGGTCGCCCGGGGTATTTGATATCCAGATTACGCGATAGATGGGCGAGGTAACGTTGAAGGATCTCCCCTTTTTTTCTTGTGTGCATATATCTTTCGTACATACACTGCGGAATTGCGATGAGTAGTTCTTCGTAAAACTTGATTGGTTCTAGGCCGGCCGCGATGATATGTTCGAGACTTGTGAATGCTTGCCGAAGCAGGGGGCCGCAATTCTTGAAGTCTCCCATGTCAAACAAGTCAAATGCAAGCCTGAAGTTGTGCCTAACAGAGCGTCCTTTTGCAGAAAGAGGTCGATATCTATTCGATAGGCTCCAGAAAGTGCGGTGCCGGGCAGCGTCCAAGATTATCTCTCGAATGCTGACGCAGGTCTTCTCGGTCCATTCGTACAGTCTATTCCCGTAAAGTAATGCTGTGGCGGGTCCTGGGGTATTCTTAGTAAAGTTGTGTTTTGAACCAAGGGCAATATCATAAAGCGATTTGTTCTGGACGGGGGCCTGGCTTAGATTCCGTCTAGCTGGTCTCCGACACGTGGCCACGCCGCGTCAGGTTTCGACCAGAACGCCTTGGGCGCGACTTCTTTGCAGCGCTTTCGTGTTGTACCTTTTCCAGTTCCATTTCTCAAACTGGCGCTTGTACATCCTCTCTCCAGCAACATCAGAAAGTCAGCAACGCACACTACGATATATTGGCGAGTAATCTGAGAAGACGTACGTCGCTGAGAACGAATGTTCCTTCGACATGATCTCTATTATTTCCTTGAGTGGGAGGTTTTGATCGAGGTAAAGTCGTTGGATGGCATCTTTTTGGCGTCCCAGTCTTCCTGGCTCTCGGGACGAGGAACCCGGGGTCGATTGAGGGCGATTTGGTCCGCCGAGATAGAAACTGAAGCCGAGAAGGGATGAAATGGAAGATTTTGCCGCATGATTGACGATTCTGGCAAAGTGGCGAAGCTGGTGCAGTCCGTGGCGGTGTCGCAGAGCTGGGACTTGGATAGCTCGTGGGTTGTTCAGGTGTATGTGGCTTTCTAGATGCATGTATTGTGTATAATGAGCGGGAAACAAAGATGCTCTGGTTTGCACGAGTTCCGCGAGCTGAATTCTGTAGTAATTATCAACTTGGGTTTTGAAGAGTGAAGAAGGGATGCACCAAGCACCAAATTTACAGGAATCAGAGCTTTATATATAGTTATACCTGGTTTTAAAGGGTACATGAACTTATCATTTTGCTGAAATATCAAAAATTAAGGCTGCGCCTGCTGCCATCAACCTCACCGCCAATAAGGGACACCACGTTGACAGTCGTGGTTCATCCCAAGACGCAAGGTCTTTTTGGGTGTTGGCGGTTGCTGATTGGACGTCACACCCATGCCAAGTGGTGACATGCGTCTCGGTCTACAAGCTCTTCCTCTGGAGGTGGATGATAAAAGGCCCCTATGTGAGAGGCCAATAAAACTAGGGTCTATGATCATAAGCATTGGTTCCACCTGCTTAGAAAGACATAAAAGTAGGTTGCAATGTTGGGAATAATTTGCCATTCACCCAACGCAGCATCGCTGTTCCAGATCACAGAAGTATTGCCTAGAGGAATCCTCATCAAGGAGGATCGCATTCTCACGCGAGTAGATTAGTTGAATCTCACGGCACTTGAAATATAGTTCCCGTATAGAATCGCCGAATCTTACCTGAGCAAGGGACCCTACTGTAAGGCATGATGTAATTAGATCAATGCCTTGAGAATTGAGATTCTTGACTGCCTAGACCGAACAAGGTTACCTCGACGGCATCCATCAACATGGGGTTTTCATGACTAGCTCATGCAGTATTGGATAGAAAGCCGAGCCAGACCAGACTCAAAGAGGACATTTCTGGGTTGATCAGGAACGAACTGACCGGTTCGCCAGCCGGGATGACATGTTAGCCCCGCCCCTTACAGTGTCTTTTGATATAAAGACTGTATGGACATGGGACAAATAGTGGGTTAGTACAGTACGAATATTCCTGATCGTACGGCTGACGGTGAAAGCAGGCAGCGGCTAAGGAGCTGTGCCGCACCCGCGCACCCGCACCATTCAACTGCCGCCGCCTTTGCAGGCCGCTTCCCCCCCTCCATCATCCTCGAACCGCGGATTTCCACCTTTCAAAATCCACTTTGACCTGAAAGTACGATGCCCGGTCTCGTCAATTGATTTTCCGCTGCTCGGCTTTGACTTTGGATCAGTGGGCTCTCTTGTTCCTCTCAGCTTTCGTTGACGTGTAAGCCAGATATCATCACCTTCAGCCATACAATACAAACCTCGCCATGTCCCATTATACACCCCCGGCCTCGAAGGACGAGCGGCCTAGCAAGCTTCGGAAGCATGCGCACCATGGCTTCCCCTTCGCCACGGCCCCTGTGCCGCCGCCGCCGGGCACAGACGGCTTTGCCTCGCTTCCGCCTCGCTGGCAGCCTGTCGAGTACTCCCTCGTGGACTACCACCACCACGGGCCTGCCATCTACGGGGAAAACGTCTGGCCCCAAAGCCATGGAATAGGTCAGATGGACCACGCCTTTGCAAAACCCTTGCCCGCGGACGACCAGTCGGCACTCACCTTTTTCCCGCCTGCCTCGTCCCTCACCCAACCCTCTCCCCGGGCCTTGAGCACCTTCTCGTCGCCCTCCGTCGTCTCCCAGCCGTCCTCTGCCGGGTCCGCCGTCTCGCCCACCCAGACCGACTTCCCGTACGAGTGGATGACGAGGAGGGCGTCGCCATCCACGACCTCGTCCGTTACCCAGGCCGCCACCCAGCGACCCGTGAGCCGCGCCCAGAGCCGCTTCGTCTGCCTCGGGCCGCACTGCGACGAGTCCTTTGACCGGGAGCAAGACTACACGGCGCACTGCAAGACAGCCCATACGCACACTTGTAACTGGGCAGGCTGCAACCGGCCAAGCTTCGCCACCAAGGACGGCCTCGCCTGGCATGTCAAGCTGGAGCACCTCCTTATCTGCCCCGCCCCAGGCTGCACCGAGAGTTCCTTCCAGACCAAGCAGATCCTCGAGAGCCACGTTAGATGTGCCCACACGGAGGCCGGCGGTGACGGGAAAGGCAAAGGAAAGGATCTCAATACAACAGCAGCAACAACGACGACGACGACAACAACAGTGACAAAGCCCATGGCCCAGATCATGGTCTCCACCAGCTCGTCCCAGGCCTCCCACGCCGTTGCGGCGCCATCTCAAAACCCGAACGAGGACCGGGCCATCAAGCAGATACTATCTGTGGCCGTTTCCAAGAAAAAGTGCCGCGAACAGCTGAGGAACGTGGTCGAGAAGAAGCTCAGAAGACAACAAGGTAATGCGTTTGAACGCCTTGTCTCTCCCTTGCGTGGTGGTCTTTTCTCTTCTTCTTCTTGTTTAATCTAACACGGCCCAGGTCAAACCCCACGAACAGCCGACTGCCCGAGCGACTTTTCTCGGGCCCGCCTCTCCCGCCTGGCCGAGGCCGCAGGCTTCCCCCTCGTCTGGGAACACGGCGTCCTCCCCTTCCTCGTCGATTTCATCCCCAAGTGGTGCGGACCGAACCACGTCGTCAGCGTCACCCGCGGCAAGACGCCCGGCTCCCGGCAGATCTGCATCATGACCAGGAAAGAGCCGTCCCGGACCCGCCGCATCATCATCGCGGCGCACGTCAGGGACCTGCTCCCCGAGAACCACCGGGCCACCGTCACCTTCGCCTTCGTCACCGGCGCCGTCGGCCGCATGGTCTGGGCGCGCGGGCTGAGCGGGGAGATGCCGGACGAGGTCTGCATGGCCCGGAACCCGTACTACTTCAAGAGCCCGTGCATGGGCGACAGCATCGGCATCGACGGCACCGCCGACTTCAAGGAGAGCACATCCACCCTGGGCCCCTGCCTGCTCGTCGGCGGCGGCAGCTACTGGCTCGCCAACTTCCACCCCTTTGTCGACGCGTACCAGCACCTGGCGTCCGTCAGCGTGGAACATCCCTCGCCTAGCGACCGAGCGGGATGCATCGACGAGCGGCACGACACCATGCCAGACACGGACTTCACCATCGGCCATCTCACCGCCACGTCCGGCATCGACCTGAAGACGACCCGCATCTCCCACGACCCTTACTGGGAGGAGTGCGACAAGGAACCCCCCCTGGTCGTTACCGACTGGATCCTCATCGCGTCCAAGACGCGCCAGGCCAATATACTTCGCCGGTTCCCCTCCGACACCATGCCTCTCCTGAAGGAAGTCCCCGTGAAGACGACCAGCGTCGTTGTCCCGGGCGCCACCGTGGTCTCCACGGGGCGCACCTCGGGCCACCAGCGCGGCCAGGTTTGCGAGATCCCCGCCTACGTCAGCGCGGACGAGAACGGCACCGGCAAGGCCACGCGCGAGTGGTTCGTCGAGGAGCCCTACCCCTTCGACGACGAGGAGGGCTGGATCCGCGGCGGCATCGGCGTCGAGGGCGACAGCGGCGCCGCCATCGTCGACGCCGACACCAACGCCCTCGTCGGCCAGCTCTGGGGCCGCAACAAGTACTTCGGCGCCGGGCCCCGCCTGACCTTCTTCACCCCCGTCGGCGACCTCTTCGACGACATCCAGGAGCGGTGCGGCCAGCAGGTGCGCCCGCAGCTCCCGCAGTACCGCGACGAGTCCGACTGCTACCCGGTCGACCCCAGCTGCAGGCAGTGCTTCGATCTGCGCACCTACCTCGACAGCAGGCGCAACTCGCGCGAGTCGCTGCGCTCCATCGTCGGCCGCAACAACGAGAGCGAACACGGCGGCGACCTGACGTCCGTCGGGGGCACATCGGAGCTCGCGACACCAAAGGACCACCACGCCTTCTGGCCCCGCAGCTCGGGCGTCGAGGAGGTCGGCTCGTCCTTCGCCAGCTTCATGTCGCCGCCGTCCGCTGCTGCCGCCGCCGTCGCCGCGCCGTCCTTGGCCTTCACCCCGCAGCCCGGCACCCCCGGCATCGTGGACGTCAGGAGCCCTTACGCCCTCACCCTCAGCGCCGAGGATCTTTACGACGACGAGGGTTACACTCACGCCATGGCGGACGCCGTCCCCGGAAAGCGTGCGGCCGCCGCGGTGCCCCTTGCGCGGAGCTCAAGTCAGAATGCCAAGAGGCAGAGATTGCATTAAGCGTGTGTTAATTTTTTTTTTGTCTGGTTCGGATTTGTCGTCTTTGTTCTTTTTCTTTTTCTTCATCATATCGTGAGGATGGGTGGGGTAAATTCAGCCGGGGAACCCGCCTCTAGCCATCTTCTTGGCTCTCTGGTCACGGCGGTTGTGGTTCGCCCGCGAGCCCTTGCTGGCCTCCTTTCTCCTCCGCGCCGCCTCCGTCTCTTTCTCTCCCGTCGGACCCGCCACGTTGCCGCCTCCCCTTACGCCACCGCCACCACCACCCCTGCCGCGGCCACGACCTCCGCGACCTCCTCCGCGACCGCCTCCTCTGCCGCCCCTCGACGAGCCTCCTCCCTCGGGGTCGGACTCGTCACCGGCTCGCCACGCCGTCGACACGATCTCGGCCTGGGCACCGGTGAATGCCGCAGCGCCGCTGTACTTGGCCTCGAGCCGCCGCTTCTGGCCCAGGTTCCTCGACAGCATCACGGCCCAACCCTCGATGGCCTCGTCCGTCATGCCCGTGTCCTCCCGCAGCTTGCCCCGCGCCTGGCCCCGCCTTGTCGCGGCCTGCCTGTCGAACACGCCCGGGTCCGCCTGGTAGACCTTGAACAGCGTCTCCTCGTTGGCGTCCTTCTGGCCGTCCGCCTCCTCGTTGGCGTTGTCCACCGTGCCGCCGACATCGTCGGCGTCGTAGGTGTCGTCGCGCTCATCGTCGTCCGAGTCGAAGGCCGCGAGCGCCGACAGGATGGCTGCCTTGTTGGGCGCTGCGGACCTGTCTCGCAGAACGTCGTCGGCCGTTTTCTCGGGGGCCTTTTTCCCGAAATGGAGTTTGGAAACGTCTAGATCTAGTCTGTCTAGTTCATCATCGTCAAATACGTTATGCCGCCGTGGTAATTGCGGAGGTGTCGGTCTGGGTTCGAGCTGGCTCTTTCTTCTCTCCAGCCTGGGCGATCTGGCGTACATTAGCAGTTAGATCATGAATGATGAGTGAGACACAGGTAGTGAAAGAAAAAGCAATCAAAAAGAAACATAAAAACATTTGAAATGCAGATTGAAAACCTGAAATAATAAACGTACAGTTGCGCGGTGCGGTCCGCGGTCGCGAGGTGCGGGGGCAGCGAGTCCTCCAGCAGGTGCGCCGTGACGACCTCCGTGTCATCGCCGTACTCGTCAAACAGCTTTGAGATAAAGGCCGAGCCCAGGTCGGGGAACAGGTCCTGGATGAGGGAGATCTGGCTCTGCCTGTGTATGTGCAGTTCGGCCTGGTCGCCGGCGACGTCCTTTGCCTTGCCCTTGCCCTTGTCGACCCTGCGCTTGACGAGCCTCTTGGGGGGCCGCATCATGCCGCCGCCGGGCTTGCGGAAGCCCTCGAGGGCGGTGATGCGCGACTTGAGGGCCGTCGAGGCGGCGCCGGCGTCCTCGGCCCTCTTGAGCAGGTGGCGCAGCACGGGGGTGACGGTGACCAGCTCGGCGACGAGGGAGTCGTTCACGCCGATCGGGCCGGCGCGGTGGGCATCGGCGGCGGTCTTTAGGGAGAAGAGGACGTCGGCGAGCATGCCGAAGCGCGGGGGCTCGGTGGCGGTCAGGCCGACGAGGCCGAGGTAGGCGGCGGCGACGAGGACCTTGCGCAGGGGCGGGTTGGTGATCTTGAAGGCGGAGACGAGACCGTCTAGGAAATCGCCGCCGGCGAGGAAGAAGGCGGCGGCGTGCGGGGAGGCGTGCAGGAGGTGGTTGAGGGAGGCGAGGCGGGCCTCAAGCGACTTGAGGTCGGCCTTGAGGCCAGCCTCGAGGGACTGGGCGAGGGACTTCTTGAGGCCGGCCAGGGCTTGCTCGAGGGCGGGGCCGTGGAGGGCGAAGGCGCGGGAGAGGGCGGGCGGGGCGCTCCTGCGATACAGCTTGCTGAAGGCGGCGAGGAAGGGCGGCGACGTGAGCGCGGATGGGGGCGGATGGGACGGCGTCGTGAGGAGACGGGAGGCGAGGCCGAAGGCCGACCTAAGCAGCGTCCTGGCGTGGGCGGAAGGACCGAGGACGGTCGAGGGCCCCGCTGCTGCGTCCGCGAGCTCGGTGACGAAGGAGGAGAGGAAGGGCGGGACGGAGGAGTCCTCCTTGGAGGCGGCCTTGGCGAGCTGAGCGTCGGGAAGGGTGAGGTACGCCTGGGTGAGGGTCGTCCAGGCGTCGAGGAGAGACTCCCAGTCCTCCGGGGTGAGCTTGGCGCGCCACTGCGAGGACGGAAAGGGGGCGAGGGGCGGTAAAGAGGTCGCCATTTTTGAGGAAGGGGGTTGCGCGATGAGTTTGGCGGGGGGTTATATTAATGCGGGTGAGACGAGGGGGAGAGAAAGAGCTCTACGGGAGAGCTTGTGTGATCGTGTCTTTATCGCGAATCCATCCGGGGGTTGTTCTGATTGTGCCTGAGGAAGATGGCGTTTTGGAGGTGAGATGAGATGGAGATGACATGAGTGAGAGGAGTTGTGTGAGATGAGACAGCTTTCATGACATGTATGCAGTAGACATCGTTCCTCGCCGGATGATTCATTGACGTCGGTTTCCCGGGGGAGGGGCGCAAACGCAGTGAGCCTTTCGGCGGAGCTTGCAAGACGCGGCAGGAGTGGGGGGAGGGGCCTGTCCTGCCTGTCCTGTGCTGTAGTCGGTGGGGGTTTCCCTTGTGTCGTTCAGATGGTAGGCGAAAAAGGTACGTAACTTTTTTGCTCTCGCAAGGCCCCGCGCTAGTCCTAATGTAGGCTAGCGGCATTCTTCTCGGTAAAGCCCTACCTCCAATCCCCACGAAAAAGTTCGCGATCACGCCCGCGCCCGGAACCTTTCGTTTTTTTCCCACTCCAAGCTTTCGATAGTCATCAGCCTTCATCACTTTGCCGCAACCAAAGCCGTTCGAGTCGTGAAGGAAAAAGAAGCCTCGCTCTCTCAATTCCCCTATAAACCACACCCGTCCAACCGACAACAAAAACAACCAAAACCCGTCAACATGTCTTACAACAAGGACAAGGACTTCGGCGAGGCGCCCAAGACGCACAAGATCCGCATCACCCTCTCCTCCCGCAAGGTCCAGTCCCTCGAGAAGGTCTCGGCCGAGCTCATCGAGCGCGCCAAGTCCAAGGACCTCCGCGTCTCCGGCCCCGTCCGCCTGCCCACCAAGACCCTCAAGATCACCACCCGCAAGACCCCCTGCGGTGAGGGTTCCAAGACCTGGGACTGCTTCGAGATGCGCATCCACAAGCGCCTCATTGAGTACGTCCCGCCGCTGCCCCTCCTTTTCACGCTCGGCATCAATTTTTGAAAAGAAAAAAAAAAGCTAATCTTTTCGCGTAGCCTCAACGCCCCCACCGAGATCGTCAAGCAGATCATCATCAACATCGAGGCCGGTGTCGAGGTCGAGGTCACCATCGCCGCATAAGCGGCTGGAGCTGGCCAAGGGACAAGAGGGACGCGAGGTGCTGTTGTTATTGTTGTACAAGGGACGGACAGAATGGGCTTTTGGCTTGGGGATTGCCGCGCCACGGGCGGGCGGGCGGCGAGGGCGCCGAAAGGCCCCTCGTCCTCTACCCGGCAGGCGCGGCGGGACGAGCCAGGAGGTCTAGATACCACCCAAATCAACTGATGACCACCGAACCAAACAAACTACCTGGAATTGCGCCGTTGTGATGTGTCGCTCTGCCCGTTATGTATAGTGTTGAACGCCCCTGGCTCAATGAGTCTTCTTCGGCCGAAACAAGCGTGGGCATGATGGGGCGTGGGCTGGGGCGCTGAAATAGATATTGAACATTTGCCAGTAGTAAAGAACATGGTGCTTGCGCCTGTCTGCAGCGCAGGTAGCACCTATTATATCATCTGCCCCCCCGGGACGTCATATCCCGTCCCCCTTTTCACTGATTGATCCTTTTTTTCTTCTTCATCAACGCCTTGCAATGCCAGTTCCTTTACAAGAGTACAGAGGTGGTGATCGCGGTGGTCTTCACCTCACCTCACCTCACCTCACCTCACCTCGCCCCACTCCCATCACAAGTCCCAAAGACAAAACTCCCGCTTCGGCGGCAGCTCGGGCATCAGCCCCTCAAACTTGCTCGTCTGCATGAACGCCTGCCACTGCTGCCTCGACTTGTCATCATAAGCCTCGTCGGGCAGCTCCGTGTCCTTGTAGTAGTTGGGCGGGCCGTCGGGGAACCAGATCCTCGTCCACGCGCCGTTGAAGGCCCGGATCCCGGGAAGGTTGTTCTGGTACGTGACGGGCTTGCCCTTCCAGTTGCTCAGCCGCCCGTCCATACCCTTGGCGCTGTAGCTCGAGATCGGCGGGTGCTGCCTCGAGCTCCCTGGCGGGTACGGCCCACTCCCGGGTGCCGCCGCTTGTTGCGCGGCAGGCGGCGCGGCGGGCTGCCCACCAAATGGGTTTGATGCTGCTCCGCCCCCGCCGAGGCCGCCCGCTGGCTGGCCGAAGGGCGACGGCGCGTTGTTCTGGCCAAAGGGGTTTGGCTTCTGGCCGAGTTGCGCCGGCTGGCCAAAGGCGCTGGTTGGCTGTGGCGGCTGCTGTTGCGTCGGTTGTGCTTCCATCGACGCAGACCCGAATGCGCTGGGCTGGGAGTCTGGCTTTGCGCCAAAGGGATTGCTCGCCGCCGTCTGTGTTTGCGCGGGCTGGCCGAACGGACTCGCAGACGTCGTCTGTGACGGCTGGCCAAAGGCACTAGGAGCCGCGGTCTGGGAGGGCTGCCCGAACGGGCTGGCGTTGGACTGCGCGGGAGCACCGAACGGACTGGCATTCTGCGTCGTGTTTTGTGCCGGTTGTCCGAACGGGCTGGGGCTGGCTGTGTTCTGCGCCGCTTGGCCAAAGGGACTGGCCGAGTTGCCACCAGCGGCAGCACTCGCAAAGGGGCTGGCTCCGCTCGAAGCGCCGCCAAAGGGGTTCGGCTTCTGCCCCAACGCGCTCGCTTGGCCAAAGGCGCTGCCACTGCCACCGGACTGCGACGGCTGACCGAACGCACTGCCAGAGCTACCACCGGGCTGCGCAGGCTGGCCGAAAGCTGGCGCTCCAAAGGGGTTCGGCTTCTGGCCTAGTGACGATGGCTGGCCGAAAGCTGATGTGCCACCCCCGAGCGCGCCGGGTTTTCCAAAGGCAGACGTGGGCTGGGAGGGCTGGCCAAAAGCCGGGGCTGAGCTCTGACTCGGGGCCCCAAACGCCGAGGTCGGCTGCGCCGGCTGCCCGAAGGCCGATGAAGGCTGCGAAGGCTGTCCAAAGGCGGGCGTGCCAAACGGGTTCGGGCGTTGCCCCAGGGCGGCCGGCTGGCCGAAGGCGGTTCCCGAGGCCGCTGCGGTGTTGGCCCCGCCACCAAAGGGTGATGAGGTTTGCTGGCTGTTCGAGGAAAATGGGTTTGACGACGTAGCCGAGGATGAGTTTGATGAAAAGGGGTTCTGCTGGCCGAGGGAAGACGCGGCCCTCCTCCCAACCGCGAACTCTCCCGTCGTGCCACCCGGTTGTGTCCCCTGCTTGCAGATGTCTATTCTGTTGGGGTGCTTCTGCTCGGCGGACACGATGAACTGGATTGCCCCGTCAAGGTTGCCGACCGCTGTCTTCATCTGCTGCTGGGCTTGCTGGTAGACCTCCTGCGCTTGGTTGAGCTGCTGTGGCGTTAGCTAGCTGTGCGTGTCGAGTCTGTTCCGCCCTTTTGATGTCCTACCGCTTGTTGAGGGTTTCCCGCGGCCGTCGCCATCAGGTGGAGAAGCCTCATCTCCTCGAAACTCTGCTCGCGCATGGGGCCTCCAAAGAGTTGTTCGGGGGCGTCCCTACCCGGACCGTAGGCGGACAAGATCCATTGAGGTGCCTCTGACGTCAAGTCCTTTTCGATGGCTTCTTTAGATAGTTGGTACGGCAGCGCTGCGCGTACGTCAGTACTTCAGGTCTCTCTTTTCATACGTGTAGGTCGCTTCGTCGATGCACGAACCATCGTTGCCACCGCGGTTGAATCCCCCCCCTCCACCCTGCCCAAAAGCTGCAAAGCGGTTGTTCGATTGTGATCTCGGGTGCTCGAATCGGCAGTTCTCTGGTCGCAGACGTTAGCTCGACACGTTCTACATTGAAAGCCGCAGAGTCCCCGCGACATGGGAAGAGACCAATGGATGCGCCATCGCGCGTGACGTACGTCCATACCTGCAGTTCCCCTGCTCGTAGAACTTGCAGACCACCATGTCGAGGGCCGTAAGCGAGCGTTCTGTGGTGTCGGTTTCGGCGTGACGGCAGAAGCTATGTCATTTCGGAGGATTCGCAAACTTGGGCAGGATCGACAAGACGGGAGGCGGATATAAGACAAAGCTGCCAATTGTCACAAGGGCGCGCGGATCGGGCGTCGAGGAAGAAATCAAACCTAATATCAGTCAGCCTTTCGTAGCCTTGCCGTTGCTGGGCGCTAGCGCGGTTTGACGGGCCAATGGGAGGTCAGTACAGTGTTTATCGCATGTACGAGCTCTTCACACTGTATCCACCTCTTCTTCCTCCGAAAGCGTCACACAAAGTCTCGGAATGCCACATTCACACTGACTGACTGACATGATTTATCTTTGCTTATATATTTAATTACTTATTTCTACTTACCAATTTCTTTTCCTCTCCACATTAATAATCTCTCTCGCTCTTCATGGTCACAGTTCTCTCGTGTATCTCCCATTTGTATTGTCATTGAACCATCCAATTATAATTTCATCTGCCGCACCCTCCCATGCTCTTCCAGACTGGCTTGAACACTCGGAAATGATTGATCTTATGCATCAAGCAGGTACTGCTGACGGAGCATCCAGAACACGACAACAAGGGGACAGGCAAAAAGACACAATACCTGAATCGATCGACTTTGATTGCTTCCACTAAAATACAACTATGCTAGCACCCGTCTACCCGATAACGCCGGCAATCATGGGCTTCAGCTGCTCCTCGACGTAGGCAGGGTTCCGCCAGTCCGACCAGTCGACGGTCAGCAGGCCCCACGACTCGTCGTAGTTTTGCGTGCCCGAGCGGACGTAGTAGCTGCCCACGAGCACCCAGATGAAGAAGCTAGCCCTGGCCTCGGGGAGGTACTCGGACAGGCACGTCGCGTAGACGCCCTGGTACGAGTCGTCCTCCATGTTGAACCCGTACTCGGTCAGCGCGACGGGGAACACGTTGACCGTCGCCGGGTCCGTCGCGTTCATGGCCTGGAACCCGCTGTTGTACAGGGCTGACTTCAGGCTGTCGCAGCTGGTGGCGCCGTTGTTGTAGTTGTGGATCTCAAGCACGAGCTTGTCGGTATAGGCGAAGTCGCTGCGCGAGAAGGTGCCGTTCCCGGGCTCCAGCGCCGTGCCGCGGACCACGGGCGTGACCGTGGTGTCGTAGTTGAGGCCCGAGAGGTAGATGAGCACGTCCGGGTTCGCGCCGTTGATGGCGTCGGTGCCCAGCTTGATGTACTCGTACCAGTCCTGCCAGTGGTACGAGGCGGCCACGAGGTCGGGGTTGTCGGATGCCTGGCGGAGCTCGTTCCGGAGGGACATGGAGACGAACGCCGGCCACGATTTGCCCTGCACAGCAAGTCAGTCGTCAGTCGCCCTTGAGAGGCTCAAGGACGGAAGAGGTAAAAATAAAATAAAAAACGCTTACGTGTTCTGCCATGTAGGCGAGGCCGCGCACCCAGTTGTCGACGTCGAACTCGCGGTCTCCCCACCACGTGTTGCCGTCGTCGCTGGAGCAGCACCACTTGGCCTTGGACATGTGGTTGTCGAGGTGGATGTGGACCTGCTGCTTGGCACACTCGGCAGCGATAGCGTCGTAGACCTGCAGCAAAAGGTTATCATGTCAGCCAGCCATCGGGCTATGAATACGAAACGTATGAAAAAGAAATCAAAAGAAATCAATTCCATGTTGTCGCGTCAACGTACCTCCAGGCGGGTGGTGGCCTCAGTAAAGGACGGGTTCTTGGCCAAGACCTGCGCGAGGACGGCAGTGCCGTTGGCCTCGCCCAGGCCCTCGACGAAGGCCGTCTTGAGGTCGACGTCGTTGCCGCCGTTGTCGTAGATCTGGTCGACGAGCTCGATGGCGTAGGTCAGGCGGATGGCGTTCATGCCGATGCTCTTGATCTTGGAGATGATCTGCTCGACCGAGGCGTACTGCAGGCCCTCGGGGACCATGACCTCGCCGTGGCCGGGCCAGTTGGTGCCGGCGAAGTTGACGATATTGCCCGAGGCGTCCAGCTGCCAGCGCCCGTCGCTGGTGAAGGGACCGTTGGGCCAGGCGGCCTGCCTGGCCTGGGGGAAGGCGGCGGCGGCGGCGGCGACGAACAGGAGGGAGCTGAGGAACTTCATTGCGGTCGAGATGGGGAGAGCCTGCGGGAGGTTGTCACAGCAGAGGCGGTCGACGCGTGTCACCGCGCGGCCGTCTCTGACTTTTATACCACAATCTCTCAACGCGGCATCTCTCTCCCAGATGGGACAGTCATCCCGTCCATATGCCTTGCTTGCTGCACGGACCGAGAGCGGGACCTGCAGGCTCACGCCAGGAACCGGCCTCTGACATCACGAACATTGGCAGTAGGCCACGGGACTAGCTCTCTAGGACGCTCAATGTCACCGCCCAATGTCACCGCCCAATATCACCGCCCAATGTCGCCATCCAATGCATCGTGACCAGTCGTAACCCATGTCATCGCCTGCAGCGGGGCTCGAAAGCCAAGCGAAGCTCGGGGGGGAATTAGGCCCGAGAAGAAGAGAACAGCCGCCGGGCTAGGGAGGGGAAGAGGGGGCGGCCAAGATTACAGTATAGGGAGCATGAGAAGCTCCCAAAGCGGGCCAACGAGGTGACGGCGTGCCAGGAACAAGATAGAAAGAGTGGCAACGCTCGACCTCGGCTTGAAGGAGGGTCTGTTTATGGTGGTAGCAGTGGGATAATGTTTTGATTCCACTGGTCATCCCACCCCCGCATTGTTTATCGAATGTACGGATACCCATAACCCATATAGCATGGATAGAGGAGAAGAGCCTTACTCCGCACGTCGTTCCCCTGGAATCCCCCCTCCCCCGGCCCTCCGGCGCAGTAGCGGGTGTTTTTGCCGGTGTCTAACCACATACGGCAGGCACCCGGAAAAGCCATACCCCATAACCCGAACTCCACGGTTTGGTTCTTAGAGTTCGGGTTATTGGATACCGTTTTCTCCGGTCAGATGATGGGATTAGTTAGCAGCTGCGGCGGTGACGGTACTGCTAAGAAGTCAGATACCGGCAAAATACCAAAGAAAGTGCGCCGGCAAAAAATACCCGCTACACTCCGGCGCAAAATCTCCTGCATGCCGAGAGTCCTCCCTCATCTTCACCGGCCCTCTCCCCCAAAGCGGCCGTTTTCTGCGCGATCACGAGATGGCCCGGGTGAGCCCGTCGACGTTGCATGGGGGAGCCTAGCGTCGAGCCACGGCTCCGCGATCCCCGCGGGGGGGGATGCACCAGCGAGCAGGGGGACTCGCGCCGGTGACGCGCGCCTAGAACTGAACAAACTACATCATGTCCGGGACTCGTTGGGCGGGAGATGGAGAACAGCTGCCGGGAGGGGGGAAGCAATCCGGGTGGCATGAATAGTGCGCAAGTCACGCTCGCGGAGAGACAAGGGCTAACATAGCTTACACGGGTTTGTCTACTACTCCAGGGTGGGATTTGTTCCCCGCTGTTCATTTTAATCTACCTATATCGGTTTCTCTCGGGATCCGGCAAGTGCCAATTGACACGTGGGGAAAAAGACACATCCTTTCGTCTGCGCTACGCTCAGTTGACGACAGCTTCCTAACCTAGTCTCGTCCTGTAGTGATCTTTAGGGGGAGGGTAGGAAGGGGGGACCAGTCCCAATGGCATTCTTTTCCATCATCTCAAACCCTCTCATCCATGATCCAAAAGGGGAAAACAACAAGAAATAGAAACAAAAAAAAACCCCGCCTAGAAAAAACCTCACGCCCTCGCCCGGAACTCGACCATCGGCCCGTCCTTCATGCTCGTAAACGTGTCAAACAGCTGCATCTCCGACGCCCGCCTCCGCCCCTCGGGCAGCTCCGGCCGCCCCTCGGCCGGGTCAACGACGCCGACGGCCCTGCGCGCGTCGTACAGGAACAGCGTCCGCGCGATCGTCGTCGACATCTCGGCGTAGGCCAGCCCCTTGCCGATGCACCCCCCGCGCCCCGACGCTGAAGGGGCAGAAGGCGTTCTGCGCCCGCGCCACGTCCTCCTCCGTCGTCGTCGCCGCCGTGGCCGCGGGGTTGCGCGCGCCGACGATCCACCGCTCCGGGACGTACGCGTACGCGTTCGGGAAGTAGTCCTCGTTGTGGTGGATCGCGTAGTGCGGCGTGCCGACGACGGTGCCGGCAGGCACGCGGGCGCCGTCGACGGTCGCGCCGCCCGCCAGCACCTCGCGCGGGAGGAGGCCGCCGACCGAGGGCGACAGCCGCATGGCCTCGTCGATGCAGGCGCGGAGGTAGGTGCACGTGTTGAGCGCCGCGCCCTGGCGGATGTCCTCGACGTCGGAGAACTTGCCGCGGACCTCGGCCGTCGCCTTGGCAAGCGCCTCGGGGTTGCGGACAAGGTAGAAGAAGGTGGCCGCCATGGCGGTCGACGTCGTGTCGGCGCCGGCGATGATGCTGGGTCGCGGGGTGTTTTGTCAGACATGGAAGGGGCAAGGCTAAATAAAGGTCGGACAAAAGGGAAGGAGGAGGAGGAGAGAAAACAACTCACAGCAGGTTCGACTCGCCCCAGAGCTCGGGGACGGAGAAGCCCAGCCCCGTCTCCGGGTCGCGGGCCTTGAGGAGGTAGTAGAAGAAGTCGCGGCGGTCCGTATCCTCGCCCAGCTTGGTGCGCTCCGTCAGCTGGGCCTTGCTGTAGGCCATGTACCGCGCACGGCCTGCCGCGATGGTCGGGAACAGGAGCCTGTCGAGCTTGAGCTTGTCGACAATGGGCATGGTGCCGCACTATTGTAGTTGGGGGGGTTGTCAGTGTGCGATCTTTCTCTCTCTGTGTCTCTCTGTCTCTCTCGGCAGTCAAGGGAAACACTTACCAGGAGATGCCTCTTGGTGGCGGCGGCGATCAGGTCGAGGGCGAATCGGTTATCGGGGGCCTCGAGCATGTGGAAGGCCTTGCCAAAGGAGAGGTCGCCGAGGATGTCCATGGCGAGGTAGTTGCACCAGTCGGTCATGTTCTTGGGGGCGGACCAGCCCTTGGAGTCGGCGGCGGCGTCGCCGCGGCCCAACTCGGCGGTGAAGCAGCGCACGTTGGCGAGGATGTAGCGCTCCATCTCCTTCATGGCGCTGTCGGAGAAGCCGTGGGCGAGGACGCGGCGCTTGCGGGCGTGGACGTCCTTGTCGCGGGCGTTGTGGGTGTTGGGGGCCGGGTGGACAAAGGCGTTGTAGAACTCGGCCTTGCGGACGTTGGTGCGGAAGCCGTAGATGTCCTTGAGGGAGGCGGCCGAGTTGAAGGAGAGCGAGTTGGGGCCGAAGCGGACGATCTTGCCTGGAGTGGGTGGTGGTTGTCAGCCTCACATGCTACACGACATGTCTATCAAAGCAAGCGGCAGGCGATGGAGTAAGGGGCCGCGCACCGTATTTGTTGTGAAGCTTGTAAAAGTCCAGATGGCGGTCGCCGTTCCAGGCGTGGTAGAGCTGGTAGCCGTCGGTGATTTTGGCGACCAGCGGACCCGGGTACTTGGCCAGCGGGTGGAAGAAGAGGCGGTAGACGACGATGCCGGCGACCTGGTGACTGTCAGACTGAACCGGCTCTTTTGTGCGGTGCTCCTCGTTTCGTCGTCCACGATGACTCTGGGGGGGAGGCAAGGCGACGCATGTCGAGGAATGGGGATGAAACTCACGTATATCACGCCTCCCATGGCCGCGAGGCCCAGCCAGAGCCACAAGTGATTTGCCTCGAACGCCATAATGACTTATCTTTGTCGTCTTCTTCTTCTCTTGTGTGGCAAATCGGACTTGATGTGCAGAGCGTATTCCACGGTAACTCACTCCGCACTCTTTGGGAAGGTGGGTGGGAAAGAATCTTTAAATGATGAAGAATGACGAGGAGGAAGAAACTGGAGAGCAGAGAGAGGGACCAAGGACCCGAACCACCACTAGGTCTGTTGCACGATCAATCGAGAACCCGTGCGTCCCGGGCATCTCTCTCGCTCTCGCTCTCTTATTGTCAAGCATCGAAACGGGAGGGGAAAGGTGAGGAAGCGTACCTAGGTAGCCCTACGCAACCCAGCCCCCGTCGGCTTTCCACGGTCCAAATCGGGTCAATGAGACAGTCAACCGACCATTGTTGGATCCGCCCCCCCCCCCCCAAAAGCCCCCCAGATAGCCACATGCATGCAAACACTGGTTTGTTCTATTCTTTTCTTCAAGTCTTATCATTCCAGCGGGCGCACCTAACCCTCCTGTTCTCGGCGGCGGGAGGAATTGGAGAGGAAGAGGGGGGGGGGGGGGGGGGTGAGTCTTGTCTACCTGGCACCGTGGGTGCGGCGGCTACTCTCGGGAGGATGATTTATGACATGAAGCTTGGATACAGCACGTAGTAAAACAAAGGACATGGAGCTACCCCAGACTCTTTGACCCGCAGATGGCCTAGTTCCAGATATCAACACCTACGTAGCTTACTCCAAACATTAGCCCAGCATCGTATCCCGCATAATATCCCCGCACCGAGGGGTTTCGCATCAGGCCACGGGGACCAACCGGACACAGGCTGATTACACAGCTCGTCCCGCAGAGGTGCATATTCGTTACTAACGGACCAACCCTCCTTCCTCTTCAGAACGTGTCTGTCCATCTCTGTTGTCTCCTCTGATGAGAAATTGACGTACACCCGATATAGCGCCAAAACGTAGTACCGCCTTACTGTACCTATGCATATGCATGTACTCCATATAGCTGACCAATCACAGAGCGCTGGGGCCTTCGGTTACCGGCAAGAAGTGGAGTTCCAAGTCCCCACCCCCGTCGGCTGCGGAGAAGGACACAGAACCTGGCAAAAATGAGGGAAGGATCGAAGTAAACGGTAGGGAATTCCGCTCGAGGTCCGCGCTTCGATGCTCGTTTGGCACCGGCCTTCAATGGCTTTACACGGGTTTCTCTCCTCTTCTCCTTCTTCTTCTTTTTTCATCTTTTGTACTTCATTGGGCGCCCTGGCCCCGCCCTCGTCCGGTGATTCGAGTCCGTGAGTTGTGCCGCTGTCAGGTGGGGGAAGGGGATGATGATGACGTATCTATCACATACCCCTTTGGGACAAAAAAAAAAAAAGATCTCTGCAGTATGGGCTATCTCCTCGGTGTATAATAAACCCAGACTGCCGCCGGGTACTAGATAAAAGGCGCGGGATAACCTGACAGTCGTGTATGCAAAAGCTCTCTCTGCATTGGATCGCGTCGGCAGCGCATCACCATATAAATACATCAGTAGCCAATAGCATCAAACAGCATACTAAACACCTTTTACACTCGTTGCGTTGCCCAATGGAACATAATATACATGTATATATGCTTCACGCCCACATTACCATCCTCGTCATGTCATTCGTCTTGACCGCCGACCCCCCCGTTCCCTTGTACCCTGTACCCCACACATACCCCGTACCCCATTAAATCGTATCCATATCTCAGTGATTGTAGTATCTCGGCTCGTCAAAGACGTGGTACCGGTGATCGCGCACCCCCTGGCCCCGGAACATGGACGGGAACCGCCAGCCCTGTGGAACCTCCTCCTCGCCCACTCGCTTGTTGCGCGTCTCGTCGTCCAACGCCTCGATCCGCTGCACCTCGTCCTCCGATCGCGGGATCACAAACTTGGCCACCTGCAGCTCCGTGTCCGTGATGGTGCTGCGGCTGACGCGCGCGTATCCCGTCCGCTTGAGGCCCTTGTACAAAATGTACTCGCACCACCGGTCCCAGTCCGTCGGGTCCACGTCGTGCATGCCCGACGTGCTGCTGACGTACGTGTTGTAGTTGCCCTCCAGCGGCTTGGTCACGAGGTACGATAGCAGCACCGACGGGTTCTTGGACTCGCCCATGAGCTTTGAGAGGTACTCCGTCTGCAGCCGCCGATCCTCCGGGTCTTCCTCCTGACCCGAGTGGAAAACGAACACGTCCACCTCCTGTCCGTACACGTCCAGCGTCGCGGCGATGGCCGGCGCCAGCTCGCCAACGGGGCTTGGGAGAAGGTGGTGCGTCGACCGGAGGATCGGGAACTTGGAAAGCAGTGCAGAGCCCCACGTGTGCTTATTGGGGCCTGGGCCGTAGTCGACGTACATACCGAGGTCCTCGGCGAGGAACTGCGTCGTGTCGCGGTTGCCCATGATGATGCGCTGCAGGTCTGACTCGAGAAGGCCAACGACGTCGATCTCCAGCTCCTTAATGAGGTCGCGCATCCGGTACTCGGATGACCACATGTCGTTGTCGAGCGAGAAGTGGATGGTCCAGATACCGGCCGTCATGATGCGGTCCTCGGCGTGGTAGGGCTTGTAATCGTTGGTGGGGAAGCGCATGAACGCTGCGGCGAGGAAGACGACGTTGACGAAGGCGGCCGCGATGGTGTTGTACTTCTTGTGCTGCGACGGGGACGAGCGGCGCGTGTCGCGACGGCGGGCCTGCGACGAGGTGAGGTCGAAGACACCGGCGCCGATCAGCAGGAAGGTGGTCATCATGACCCAGTCGGTGTGCTCGCGCACGAGGGGTCCACCGGGCACAAAAGCGTAGGCGACGACCCAGACGTGGAAAAGGACCATGATGTTGTAGATGAAGAAGCCGAGGCCGAACGTCGTTCCGGGGCTCTTCTTGGCTGCGTTGGACAGGAACGGGACGGACAGACCCATGAGGTAAACGGCCGTCGTGAGCGCACCGTAGTAGCCAAACCAGTGGTGGTACGAGGTAAGGATCGCAGCACCCACGCAGCCGATGCCGTAGGCAGTCCACGAGCTCATCAAACCGGGTCGGTATAGACCCATCAGGAGTCCGGCCGTCATGGCGACGATGGTCATCCAGCCGTACGTGTTGGAAGTAGGTCCCCGAATCGGGTAGCCGTCCCAGACCCAGAGGATCATGGTGCTGGTGTCCGACAGCAGGGAGTGCAGGCCGAAGAAAAGGCCACCGACACCGAAGGCAGCCAAGAGGGACGAGCCGCCCTTCTGGGAGTCCCCGGGATAGTCGCCGGTGGTGAGGGGAGATCTGCGGGTGAATCGCAACGCAGCGACAACGGCGATGGCGAAGCCGGTAGCGTTCCAACCCCCGTTGGCGGCGTGCACGACGGGCCACAATGGGTTGTTGGTGTACCACATAAACTTCGCCGTGGACGACGCAATGAGACCAATGGTCCACGCGAGAATCCTGGACTCGAGGCGGCTCTGATGCGCTCTCTCGGACCACAGCGTCGCAGTCCAGGCGAGACAGGACGTCGCGACGGCGAAGCCGACGGTGAAGAGACGGTTGGCAGGGTCGACCACCTTGTAGGCCAGCAGTCCGATCAGCGAGACGAGGTGAATAATGCGCTGGTTGTTCACGACGAGGGACCGGATTCCACGGATTCCCAGAATCGCGGGCAGAATGGTGGACATGACAAAGGCCTCGTAGCCGGAGATGCCCATGTGCCACAGCGGGAAGTACCACACGCAAACGCCGAGACCGGTCAGCATGGTCCAGAAGACGAAGCCGTGGTAGACGTCGGCGGCAGTGTCGAGGGCCTCGACCCAGGTGAAGCGGCCGGTGAGGACGCCAGCAGTGGCCTTTTCCTTTCTGCAGGCAAGTCAGCTACGTGAGGTCTTGCGGTGGGGGTGCGGCATCTGGGGCAGCTTACTCCTTCTCCAAGACGGCAGACGGGACAGAGGATCGGTTGTCACTGTGACGAGGCTTAGATTACGCTCTTCAACTGGTTTATTGTCTGCGGCCTTGTGTACAGTATGTACATGACTCTATTTCGGAAGCCATTGGACGTACCCCTTGGTTGCCCCCTTGACGTCCTTGATCACCACTTCGAAGGTGCTAAAGTCGAGGGCCGTGACGGCGTCGAAGGCGACATCCAAGAGGATGAGAGCCCATTCGAAGAAGGCGTAGATGGTGTAGGCTATGCGCGCGCGCGGTCAGCTCCCCGTCATCTGCGACACCCATCTCGGGCAAAGAAAGCAGCTTACCTCCGGCGACACGGTGAACCTTGTGCTGGATGAAGAAGTAGATCAAGGGCACCAGGGTTCCGAAGAAGGTGCTGGCAATCCACTTGCGATATTTGATGGCCTGCGGGTTCGGCGGGCTGAGCAGGACGCATCCAATGGTCCACGGGAGGGTTGCGACAATGTAGGAGATCATAAAAATGTCGTGCCAGTCGTGGTCGTCGGTGGAAGTAACGTAGGTGAAGCCTCCGCACATGACGGTGCGCATGATACCCATGGCGAACGTGAACTTTGGCAGCGTCTGCCCGGGTCTCCTCGTCAACAGATACCACAAACCGACGAGAGCGAAACGTGGGCCCGAGGTGATGGCGATGAAGAACATGTAGAAAGACCGCTCGGGGTACCGGTCGCCAATCGTGGCGGAAACGGAGGGAAACCACTCTTGGGGGTATCCGTACCATTCATTCTGGACGATTTTGTGGTAATGCAGCGAGACACCGACAATGAATGCGCTAATGAAGGCACCTATTGGAGGAATTGATCAGCTTTTGAAGTTTCTTGCGCGCGCGACCCCACGACTGCGCAACCCATACGGGTGCTGCCTCTGCGTCACGCGATCGTCATCGTGACACCTTCAGCAAGCAAGCAACTCGACGTCGGCGCCACGCGCGCTCGGCAACTTACTGTAAGCTGTGGTGGTATGCAACCAACTGATCCATTGGCCATTGAAAGTCAGCGCGACGCCGCTGTCCTTATCCTTGTACCTCGACGACATTGTGAGGATTTGTTGCGCTCTCGTGGGGGGAGGACAGCCCTTCTCAACTCGGGAGGCAGCAGCAAAAATAAAGAGAAAAGACGCTCATCCGGGGGATCCGGCAAGCGAATCACTGCAGTCAGCAATCGGGAGGACCGGCTACGTGGAGGGGTGAGGGAGAGAGAGGGAGGGAGAGAGAGGAAGAGAGAAGAGTGGGATGGACAAGAAGAACTGTGCAGCAAGCTAGCACAAATAAACAACCCGGCGAGTCCAAGCAACCCCGGCACCGCAGCACCAGGAAATCTGTAAGCCTCGGCGGGCCGCGGGAGGGATGGGACACTGCAAACAGAAACGGGATCGGTGATGGAGCTGTGAATCGCGTGGTTGGGCTGGCCAGGGCCTCGCAGGCTCCAATTCTTTTTTACAGTAGGTACGACAGTGCAACCCCTGTCTGATCGCGGGGACTACTCGACAACTGGTTGTGTGCGTGATGTGGAATACCAGGGGCAGGGCAGGGCGACAAGGAAGATGACAGAATGAGACTGTGTGGGTTTGTTGACGAGGATGCGAAGTTAATGGTACGAACGAGGGGAGCCCACCGGAGCTTTTGTTGTACCTGTAGGTAGCTTCAAGTGGAGCACAACCCCCTTCCACTGGTTGTTCCGTTTTGGGATTGGCTCACACAGGGGTGGCTTGGTGCAAGGCTGAGCTCCTCAGCCACAAGAGCACAGACCACAGCAAGCCGGTCCGGAGTCTGAGAAGGAAGCAAAGCCACACCTCGGCGGATGCCCCACCTAGTTTTCGGTCGGGTTTCTCAGCCTCGCCAACTTTTTTTTTTCCCTTACCTTCATCGGTCTGCCTCCTCCGTCGTTTCTGCAGCGCTCGTGGTACATTGCGACCAGGCGACTCGACTCAATCTTTGCTGAAACAAAAGGACAATACAACACCACCCTCACTTTCGTCCTCAGATTCGTAATCATGGCCGTCGCTGAGAAGGCCCGCTTCTACTTGGAGCGTTCCGTTCCCCAGTTGCGCGAATGGGAGGAAAAGGAAATATTCACAAAGGTACCCCCCCAAGAACCCCTCATCGTCAATCATACAGACCATCCGCGGCAAATTTAAGAAACTAACTCTCTTCTCCAGGATGAGATCCGCACAATCGTTCAGAAGCGAAGTGACTTCGAGCATCGCGTCCTCGCCCCCCGCTCCAACCCCGACGACTTCAGCGCCTACGCCAAGTGGGAGCAGTCCCTCGATGCCCTCCGCTCCAAGCGCTGCAAGCGCATGAAGATCGGCCACGTCGCCTCCCAGCACGCCACCCAGGCCCGCGTCCTCGCCATCTACGAACGCGCTGTCACCCGCCACCCTGGCCACAAGGACCTCTGGCTCCAGTACCTCGCCTATACCGCCGAAGTCAAGGCCACCAAGCGCTGGCGCCGCACCATGGCCAGCGCCCTGCGCATGATGCCCACCGACCCCAACCTCTGGATCTTCGCCGGCCGCCGCTCTGCCTCCAACGGCGACATGGGCGGCGCCCGGGGCTACTTCATGCGCGGCTGCCGCTTCTGCACCACCGAGGGTACCCTGTGGGTCGAGTACGCCCGCTGCGAGATGGAATGGCTGGCCAAGATGGAGGCCAAGAAGGGCCCCGGCGGCAGCAAGAAGAAGGCCAAGCAGGAGAACCCCCTGGCCGGCGAGAAGATGGACGACGACGACGAGATCAAGTTCCACGACGACGACGACGATGAGCAGGACGACAACGACGACGACGCTTTGAGGTTGCCGGCGTTGGCCAAGGACAAGGTCATAAACGACGATGAGAGCAAAGCGCTCAAGAACAACCCGGCCCTCGATGGCGCCATACCCATCGCCATCTTCGACATCGCCCGGAAGCAGCCCTTCTTCGGCCCCGAGGTCGCCGAGCGCTTCTTCGACATGTTCGCCTCCTTCGCCAAGGTCTCGTCCGCGACAAAGATCGTCGCGCACGTCGCCGACGTCCTGCGCAACCTCGACCCCGCCCACCCCGCCACCTGGAACTGCTACATCCGCCTGCCCCTGGTCGGCGTCAGCCCCGACACGCCCCAATTCCCCCTCGGCCTGCGCGACGTCTTGTCCCGCCTGGGCCAGGGCCTGGACCAGACCTCGGACAAGGCCTCGCTGCGGAGGAAGTCTCTGGTGTGGATCGAGCTGATCCTGCTCGTCAAGGACCTCGACGAGGGCATCAGGACCGTGTTGGAGCATACCAAGGGAAAGTTGCAGTCATAGCTGCCGCTTATATACGGCCAAGGTGTTTACAAAGAGAGGAGCTGGAATGATACAGATGGAGAAAATAATAAGGGGGTGGGGAAGGGTTGGAGAAGAAAAAAGTGTTTTATACGGCGCAAACAACGTGACGGGAATTGGAAGCGGCCCCCGGCGGGATCTATCCGGTGTCTCCCCCCCGAAATCCTTGATACCACTTGCAGAGATCAGCCTAATCAAACTTGGTCAGAAAAAAGAAGAAACAAAGAAGATGAACAGCCCTCCGCGATATTTATCGCATCTGCTAGGGTCGTGCCAACGTTATGTCATCTCGCTTTGTAGTTGGGGAACTTCTTGGACGCCTCGACCGTCTCGTCCCACTCGCCGTCCTCGTCGAGCTCCCGGGCCATACGGATCACCTCGTCCCACTCCTCCGGCGTGACTTTGGTGACACTCAGCCGCGCCAGCCGCAGCAACTCCATGTCCCGCAGCGGGCCGCCGCCCCGCAACGCCTTGAGGAGGCTCAGCGGCACAATGCGCGAGAACTTGTGCTCAATCTTGACATGGACGAGGCTCCACTTGCTCCCGTCGTGCGGCGCCGCGGCGTCGTAATACGGGTTGTCGTTGATGCAGGCGTTCCCTTGACTTTGTTAGCCCGATAGGATGTGAGGTTGAAGGGGGGAGGGCAAAGGGAGAGGGCAGGGAGAGGAAATGAGGGAGAGCGACGTACAGTCTGGCGAGTGTTCCTTTACGATGCTCATGATGCCGACGACGCCGGGCTCCTTGCAGTTGGAGTGGTAGAAGAAGGCCTTGTCGCCCTTGCGCATGCTCCTCAGGTTATTCCGCGCGACGTAGTTTCGAATCCCTAAGCAGCCCCGTCAGCCAACCTCGTCCATGTCCAGCGCTGATTCCGTATTTCACCGGAGAGATATCGCTCAGGAACAAGCACACACCTTCCCACCCCTCGGGCGTCTTCTTCGCCGCCAGATCGTCAATGGAGAACTTAATCTCGTACCCGTCCTCGACGCGCACGTCCGGCTCCGACTTCATCAGCCAGTACCGCGGGCCCGGCGGGTCCCTGGGCTCAGCGTCAGGGTTCACGTCCGGTACCGACGCCGCGCGCAGGGCCGCGAGCTCTTCTCTGGTCTTCCTGGGCGGCGCCTCCTTCTTCGCTGCCGCTGGCTTCTAGATTTCAAAGGCAATGTGAGCATCCCCGTTGTCTGTACCCGCGCACCGCACATGTTGCACCCAGCCACACGCAAGCACCTGTGCATAAGAAGGAAGGGGGGTCCCGTAATTTCATTCGGCTCACCTTGGCCTTCTTGGCAGGTTTGGGGTTGGGCTCCTCGTCGTCGTCGTCGTCAGCTAGCCCAGCCCCGAACGCCCCGTCCTGTTTGCTGGACTGTTCCTCGGCTTTCCTCTTGCGGCTGCCGGTGGTGGTGGTGGCCAAGGACGGCGCCGCTGCTGCAGTCGATTTCTTGCTGGTTTTTGTCTTGGAAGCGGTCTGAGTCTTCTCCGGCAGCTGCTTCCTCTCGTTCGCAGAGGGTGCAGCGCTCAGTCGCGTCGACGACCGCAGGTTGCGGGTGATGGCGGGCATTGTGAGTGTAGATGGGTGATGAAATGGAACGAGATGACCCGTAATGCTTGCGTGAAGAAACACGTATGGTGTCTGAAAAAACTTGATGTGGCTGGCACCCGTGCTTGTCTTGTGATATACGCGACCCTGGGCAGGAACCTCATCACAGACGCGGAATGGCGATGAGAGCACAGTGTCGTGATGCCACAGTAGGCACAGTTCGGGCTCGATTATGTAAGCACCATTTCCCGTCGCTTAGACTCGTGGACTGACGGGCCAGGGGGTTGTGAACTTTTTGTTCAACTATTCTGTTCTTATTTAGTTGTCAAATGTGCAAAAGAAGTGGAGCTCCTGCTGGCTGTTACACATCTGTGAGAATTCAGGCCATATACACCATTTTTGACACACACCCCCAGCTTTCACAGAAGGTACCATTTTCTGTTAGAGCTAGTTTGTAATCCAGAGGGTGGCCAAGCAATACACGCCTATAGTAGGGGCAGGGTTAGACTAACATAAAGGAATACCCTATTACTGCCTTTTGCTGCCTATATAGGAAATTAAACATAGGTCTTCTAGAAATTCTATATATAGTAGTTTACGTTACGTAAGATACATATAGTGCTACTAAGTAAATAAGACTCTTAATTATTAAATATATAAAAGAAGTAAAGCTCCTACTAGCTATTATATATCTATAAGAATTTAGGCTATATATACTATTTTTAATATTAGTTTTTTATCTTTAATTCTTTTATATATATTTACTTAGTATAGGCTAGGTTTAAGATATAAGTTATAAATACTTAGGATTCTAAACTAGATTATATATAATATTATTATTAAGCTAAGTAAAACTATTTAATAACTAACTACCTTAAGAGGTCTAGTAATATAAGAATTATTAAAATATTTATTATAATAGCTTTATAATATTTTTCTACTTTATATAAAAGCACTATTATATACTTAATTATATAGTGTTTTACCTTTATTTAACTATATATAGGTCTCTACTTTTTATTCCTTTACTTATATAGAAACAAGCCTTTTAGACCTTAAATATCTTATATCTTACTATATACTTTAACTTATAATAGTTATAGGCCTAGCTTCTACTTATACTATTTATTTTATATACTATAATATATTAAATACTTTATATAAGAACATACTTTACTATACTTATTAATAGCTAATAGATTTACTAAACTTATTAAAGCTATTAGGTTATTCTTTAGGTATAACTATTTAATATAGTATTAAGTACTTATATTAAATTATAAGAATTATAGTAGTTAATTACTACACTATTATATATATAACTATAGTAGAATTCTATAGAAATAAGAAAATTCCCTTATTTCTTATTTAGGAAATCCTAGGCTAATCCTAGCTATAGTTAGTAGAATTACTTATAAAGTAGAGCTATTTTACTAGTAATTCTATAATATAAAGAGATAGTACTACCCTTATATAGGTATATAGTAACTTTATATAATTAATTTATAAACGTTTCGGCCTATTAGTATAAGTAAAGTATAGCTATTAAAGATAGTAAAAGTATATATAATTAACTAGTAAATATATAGCTATACTATAATAAGTTATTAGAGGATAAGTAATAAAATAGCCTTACTTTATAAGTAAAGAGTTAAAGAGAATATACAATATAATATAATATAAAAACATAATATATATATAATTTAATATAATATAAGTCTAATATATATATTTATATTATCTTTTATTAAATTAATAATATTTATATTTATAATATACTTAATATATCTATATAGTAAGTAAATAATTATAATAAGTAGACTACTTTCCCTTCTTTTTACCTCTTTAACCTTCATACTAATCTTTCTTTATATATAAACATATAATTCTCTTTAATTAAAAACTATATTATCCTTACCCTCTAGGCTATCTAAAAAGACCTAAAAATGTCTATATAAAAAGTAGCTACTATTTTTAAGGTCCTTTCTATAACACTTTATTACTAATATAAAGAATATATTATATAAGATATAATATATCTAAATTTAAGAGAGATAATAAAAGTAGAAAAAAAAGTAATTCTTAAGAAAGTTATTAACTTAATTAATTAAGGGTTTTCTTTATAATAGAATAATATACAAAGTATAGCTAACTAAGTTTTAAATAAATATAATATAATATATATTAAACCTTAATAAGTAAAGAACTTTATATAATAATAATAATTATAATATTAACTATTACTTAGGTATTAGTAGTATAGATTAATACTAATAATAGCTAGAGTAGCTATAGCTAATTTGCTATAAAATCCCTAGGGGATTTTATAGTAATTTTCCTCTAGATCTACTAGACCTATAGGTATATTACGTAGTAAATTTACTATATAATCTTATAATAGTTTTTCTTTTTATATATAATTTAGAACTAGTATTTACCCTTGTTATTTATTATTACTTATTAATATATATAGTTAACTATATTACTACCTTAGTAATAACTAACCCTAATTAGTAGTTAACTTTATAGTAACTACTACTATAAGATACTATAGATTAGTAAGGTAATATAAGAATAGGTAATTTTTATTATTAATTATTTATAGAGAACTAAAGTAGGCTTTTGCTAAAAAATCCCTTTATAAATACCCTTATAATAAGGTTATACTACGCGCCCTTCTAGGTTAATTACTAAGATAATAATACCTAACCTCCTGTAGTTAGTAAAGGCCTAGTAATTTACGTCTATATATATAAGCCTTATTACTTTAGGGAATTAATAGACAGGCATAAGGTATTAATATATAGGTATAACTCTTATATAGGTATTCTAATTACACACTCTAATTAGCTTAAAAAGAAATTTATTATAATATTAACTATTACCTAGATATTAGCAGTATAGATTAACGCTAAAATAGCTAGGATAACTATAGCTAATTTGCTATAGATCTACTAGATCTATAGTAATATTACACAGTAGATTTACTATATAATCCTATAATAGTTTCTTTCTTTATGTATAATTTAGAACTAGTATTACCCCTATTATTTATTACTGCCTATTAATACGTATAGTTAACTATATTACTAACCTAGTAAAACTAATACTAATTAGTAGTTAACTTTACTATAACTACTACTAAAAATACTATAGATTAGTAAGGTATTATAAAAAGAGGTAATAACGTTATTAACTACTTATAGAGGCCTAAAGTAGGCCTTACTAAAAAGCATTACTATAAATACCCTTATAACGCCGTTATACTACACGCCCTTATAAGTTAATTACTAAGATAATAATACCTAACCTCCTATAGTTAGTAAAGGCCTAGTAATTTATATCTATATATATAAGCCTTATTACTTTACAAAAAGCACTCTTAACTATAAAAAACACCTTACTTTATACGCTAACCTATTATTAATTAGTAATTATTTACTTTTTATATTCTTTTTATTATAAGCCTATAAAGCTTACTAACTTTCTCTTTTTTAAATATTTCTTCTTATTTTTCTCTAAGTTATTTTATATTACTAACGTAATAGCCTTTATTATTTATAAGCCTATTATAAGCCTTTCTTTTTTAAGTTTTTATTTAACTATAAGTCTTTATAATTACCTATACTACTAGTAGTAAATCCCCTAATAGATATATATACCTTTTAATAGCAGTTAAAGAAAACGCCTGTAACTAAGAGGTAGTTAGGCTAATAGAGGGTAATTATAAGTAAGTAACTAAGATAAGCTACTAAGGTAAAGAAGGCATAAGTAACGCATAAGGTAATAACGCTACTAAGCAGCCTAAGGTAATTTACCTTAAGTACGTGCTACTGCCTAATGTAGCTAAGTAAGTAGAGGTAATTATAAGTAAATACTAAGTGCTAGAAGGGCTAAAAGAGTTTATTCTTACTAACTAATAGTAGAAAGACTATATTACTAAGTTACTATAAAATCTTATAGCTACTAAGAGGAGGAATACGCTTACTACTATTACTACGTTCTATATCTTTAAGTATAAATACTATAACTACTTATATAGTATTTTTTAAGAGAAGGTATAATTTAACTTTAAAGACTAGTTAACTAAGAACTTTATAGCGTTACTATATAAGGTAACTAAGAAGTTATATAACTACCTTACTAGTTAAGAAGTATAAATTAACTAATTAAAGAATTTAATAGTTATATTATAACTTTATAAGGCTACTTATAATAATAAGTAAGTTATATAAAATAAGGAGATAATAGCTACTATTACTTATAAAACTAAAGGGTTTAAGGAGTAGCTAATAAATACTAATTTCTATAAGGATATTACTAATATAGTAGTATTACCTATTAAGGCTATACTTATAGCTAAAGTAACTAAGTAGGTAGTTACCTATAAATTACTAGTAATTACTAAGGTAACCTTATATAATAATTTATTATTTATACCTCCTCTAGCTTTATTACTATAGAAACCTTAAATAATAGTAATAATATATAAAGCCTAAGCCTAGCTGCGTTTTCTAACTATAGTAACGCCTACTATAACTACTACTATAATAAGTAAGTAAAGTAGCCTAACGCTAAGGTAATTAACAGACTTAATAAAGTTTTATATAAATAACCTAGGTTTAATATATAGTAGCAGCCTATATAAGACTATTAACTTAAAGTTACTATTTTTTTATAATCTTTATATCTATATAGGTATACTATAAAACTACTATAGCGTAGTAGTAATAGTAATACTTAAAGGGGAGCTATATAAGTATTATACTACCTTATTACTTAGTTATTCTAATAATTTTAATATAATAATAGTAAAGCTTAAATAACGCTTTAAAAGTAATAAAGTACACCTTTTACGCCTTACTAAGCTTTACTATACCTCCTTTAACTTAATTACTAAAGAAAACGCTAGTAAGAGTAAACTTAAAGTGCTTAAAGCACTTATTATATAAATTACCTAGCTAGTATAAGTAACTACCTATAACATCACCTTATATAATAAAGATTACTATAAGTAATTA